TAGCCTGGCCAGCACGTTCTCCAGATTTGAACCCCATTGAGGATTTATGGGATAACCTTGGAAGACAAATAAGAGCGCGTGCAACACTTCCTGATACACTGCAGGACCTTGAAAGGGCTCTTCAGGAGGAATGGACTATCCTCCAGCTAAGGGACATTTCCTGACTGGTGGAAAGTATGGCGAGGCTCCTTCAAGAAGTAGAGAAGGCAAGAGGAGGAAACGCGCTACTAAACGATGATGTAATTAATTTCTTTTAGAATAATAATGGTTCGTTTTCAATTTTTTTTTTCTCTAATCTTTCTTACCCAATCACATTTTGATTATTAAAGGTAAAAAATTCCATAAATACTAAGTATTATCTACAAATACCATGTATTATATACAAATACAACTTTTTTTTACAAGTGGGTGGAATTTTTTGCCTGTCAGTGTATATTAAGTTCTTCATCATACAAATCATTGTGGGTTGTACTTGGATTCCCTCACTGGGGTTTGGATTTGATCTACAATATTATGTGGTGGTGGTGTTTGAGCCGTCTTTTTTTTTTGGTACAATAATATATTTGTTTTTATCTTCAAGCATAAACATGTGTTTTTCCTTATAACCTTAATTTTGAACCTAGAGAACGAACTAAATTTTAATAAAATATTTGTTAGTTTTTGATCTGGACTAACAGCTATTTCAGGAGAAGTAGTTAAAGAATATGAGGATAATATCGTATTTTCATGTTTTCTAATATAATGTCACTTTTGTCAAAAACTGGGTATCTTTCTGGGGTTTCAAAGCATTCCTTTTCACTATCTGTGAAAACTATGTTGTTTGACAACTAACTATTTGTTTGACAACAAATAAGTTGTCAGACAGTTTGCCATTAGACTTCAATATCGTTTGCATCATCCAGTTGTTTCAGAATTTCGAGTAACGATTTCACAAATGTTTGTAAAAATTACGAGTCTGAGAGAGTAACGTTCTGATTCCAAGAAATACACACTAAACTATGTCGAGACTATCCTTTGCCAATGGTGAAAAAGTACTGAAGGCCTGGTGTCGAAAAGTAATGTTTATGGTAGTCATAAAAAAATGTCTTGGTTCATAAAAATCAGGCATTTTTAACATTTTTTTTAGTTAAAAATACAATTCTGCCCCAAACTAAAATTTTTCTTCTCTTAAATTTAAATATTTGTATAATTATTAATACTAGAAAAGAACCAAGAAAAAATATTAAAATTTGGTGAGGCAAATGTAGAAACTTAGTTTTGAACTCAGCTTTATCTACATGTCCCAACAAATTTAAAATTATTATAAACTCAACATAGGTCATCGGTAATATTGATAAACTTAAATTAAGAACAACATATTCATTAAGACAAGTGCCTTCCATTACCATAGATAATTATTATAAGAGAGTAAATACTTCAAGAAAGTAGAGTAGTCACAAAAAATGTATTTTACTCTATTTCTTGTCAAGTGAAGAGATTTAAAACAGCGATTTTTGTGTTTCTCTCCACATTATTGACTGATATTCAAAGCATCAATACAAAAATTACAGAAAAAAAAAAAATAAATAAAAATAAAGAGAACCAATATCAACAAGATATTAATTCATAATAGAAAAACAAAATTTTGAAATTAATAAGGTAGGAAATTTAAGGAATTCAGCTTTCATTCCAATTTGAAGTGTTAAGAAAATGAATAATTTCAAAGCCGTGAATTTAGAAACTTTACTAATCAGTAAATATATACACTAAAATGCAAATAAAAATTTATAAAAAATAAAATATTCTTATCACCTGACAAGAAAGTAATAATATAAACAAAATAATAAATAACTCCTCAATTAAAAAATCCTTTCACATGGGGAAGTGGGTTAAAAATTCTATTATACTTTTCATAGGATACTCACGTTTGTCACGGCACAACTTCATCGATTGCTTTCAGTCTCATGTGCCTGATCGTTGGTGAGTTACGGATATATGGAGAGGGATTCTGGCAGTGTGTTGCAACGGACACACATCGTATGCACAAGACTTGTCCATGCAAGCCCATGCACACCAGCATCGGGAAAGAAGGGCACATCACAAGGCCAACGACTTAGACAGGAGGAGATGAGGTCACACACCAGGGGCCGTGACCCCACATCGTAACCCCATGGCGCACACGCGTTGTTTCCGGCAACACGGGCACCTCAGGGTGAGGTCGTAAGGTCACTTGCTTGGTTGCGACCCATTCACCAAACACTTGAGAGAGAGTGAGAGACACAACACGCCAAATGCTCGGCTCACAACCGCACAAGCATTATCACGTAATGTGCCTCTGGAATCACACAAAAACATTCTACTGTATATTTCTTCCAATAACACCTCTGTTTAAGTTTTGTAAATTTTTTTATTTTCTTAAACGTCGAATATAACCAACTTCACTATTGTTTTATTATATATTAGTGCACATTTGAAAAATATAACTTTAAATCCCCATAAAAATACATACCTTTAGAATTATGATAAGTCATGTTTATGAATAATAATTTTCAATTTATAAAAACAAAATTTTAAAAACACTGAGCAAATATTTACACAATATTTGATAAGTCAGATTATTTCAAATCTGTGGAGTCCAAAGATAGATAATTTTTTTACCATCAACCAGATTGTAATGAACAATATATATATATATATATATATATATATATATATATATATATATATAGTAATGTAAATATTATATAGTGATTTTGAATAGTGGCGCGAAGGTAGTGACATCATGAACTACTACCAAAAATGGACAAAGAATGACAGATGGTGGGGGAAGAGTTCCATATGTTATGGCAGAAGGTAGCCAGCCGGCTAGATAAGAGGATCAGTGAGGAACAAATGAGTTAACAAGTAGTAAGTGTCTACAACTAGACGGAGACAAGAAAATAAAAGAACAAGAGAAAGTTATAGAAGCTAGATACAATACAGATGAAGATTCATTGCGGAACAGGGTGAGTGAAACACAAAAATAGACAGTTCAAAAGCGCGCCAAGAGTAGACCCCGACAAACAATGGAAATTCATAAATAAGTTATATAAAATTAATGTATGCCTTTGTATTATATAATTGAGGAATGTGTGTTAGTTGTCTCAACCCAACCTCGGAATTAATTATTGTGTATAATAAATATTATTTGATTAAGAAATGTTTTGTTTACTTCTCGAAGGGAACGTAACCTTACAATATAGTGGATTAATATTTTTAATATATATACCATAATACATCACAGAAGAAATTATTTATATATTTTAATTAGAGGAATACTAAGACAGTGTATAGTTGACAAAAACAAAAATACAAGTATGATTGATTGATTAAATCATCAAATGTACTATTATTCACTTTATATAAGGTCCATTAAATAATTAAAGAAATAAAAGGGCTCAAAAGATGAGAACTTCTAGAACAGTTTGTTTCTTAGGTTGGATACTGTTATGCACTTCAACATTGGCAGGAAGTACTGGCTATCCTAAATGTTATAATCCTATTTTAGATAGAGCAAGAAGGTTGAAAACTTTTACATTAATAAAATCTAAGTGATATAAATTCGCAAAAGAGGAGGGAAGGAATGGTTTGTTCCGCAAAATGTAAGCAGTAAAAAAAAAAAAAAATTATCGAATAAGATAGTCTGTGTAGTCAAAGGCAAACAACCCTATTGTTTGTTATTTTCCAAGAATAACTCATCTTTTATGAAAATAGAATGACAATAAAGCATGAAGAAGTGGTGTTTTATTTAAATCAATGAAATCGATGGGCAACAGTGCAAGAACAGAATTAGAGGGGTTGAGCAATTAAAGCGGTTACTAGCCCCAGATGGAAGAATTCACAAAACCAAAATTTGAATTATAAGTTATGATCCTGTAATTGCGAAGAATATGCCCTAGCAACAAATATTTTTTCTACGTCTAATAGAAAAAGATAGGAAGGACCTTTAAAGGTAAACAAAAATAACTGAGTTATTTAAATAAAACAAAGTCACTTTAGAACATAAGCCAACACAACACTAAATTTTATCTAAGTTCTGACCTAAAAATTAAAATAAAAAATTTATTCCTAAACTTAAGATTGGATAAGGAGCTATTTATGTCTTAGATTATTGAATAATCAAGTACATAAATAGGGACAGTCGGCTTTGAAGTTGACAATAAAGATTCGACAAAAATGAAGTATGGTTTAGTTTAAAAAAAAAAAAAAGAAAAAAAGAAAATCTTGCATAGAATTAATCTGAATGAAGTAAAAAGTTATATAATTACAGGGAAAAAAAGAAGCTTAATAAGACGTTGAATTTCAAAACCATTCAAGCCCACTTTTCAATATTTCAATCATAAAATATTTTTCATTAACAGTTTTGATACTAGATTATTATGAGATGAAATAATTTCTCAGTAAATAAATCATATGTGATTTAACTGCTTTTGGATGAAATTCAACAATCTCTTGAGTCAAGTAACAAAACTGTTGATTAATAAATAAAAATTTGAAAATGGATTTGGCTGATTTAGGAACCGAACGCATCATAGTACCATAAATCATTACAATATGGTTGATGGAATTCAGTGAAACTTACTTAAATAATACAATAAAATATCAAAGATATTGTAGTAATTGTTTACCAAATTTATACTAGGTATGAGTATGATTATTCAATATAAATGACCTTCAGTTTTCAGAACGACATTCCAATTTAAACATTTTCCACTAACCCTTTAATAATATTTTTCTTTGGCAAAGAGTAAGATTCTTTTAACGAGAAATATTATTAAAAGTATTTAATTTACTTAAAAATGTTGAAATCAGAGTTAATCAATTTATGAACTGAAAGACATATACACATAAATATAATGTAAATAAATAAATATATCATGTACTTATAATTATCAATTAATTATTAATTTTTATACTTATAAAAAAATTAATAAAGAAATCATAAATTTTACGTGATGTGTGTAAATAAATCAAGAACTTACCAAGTCCTCTAGCTGCGACATCAGTAGCCACAAGAATGGGGCTTCGCCCATTCCTAAAGTCTGAAAATATTCAATGAAATACTATTAAACTAATGTTAAAAAAAAAAATTATCATCCAGTAAAATATTAAAATAAATAACTACCTTTTAATACGTAATCTCTTTCTGACTGTTTCTTGTCACCATGTATACACACTGCATCATACCTGGAGCAATAAAATGGTTAAATAGTGAATAAACATAAAATGAAGGAAGAAAAAAAGATGAAATTGAATAAATATTACAAATAAAAACTAATTAAGGCATCATTAAATTACCTACATTTATGATTAAATAAAAATAGTAATACACACCCATCACGTATGATCCGTCGAGTTATTTCATCGACACGTCTCTTGGTTTCGATGAAAACAATCGTCTTGTTTTCTTTCTCTTGCATTATTTCTTTCAAAAGCGTGCAAAGTCTGAAACAGCATATCAATTAATTTGTGAATATTAAAATTTTGTGTAATACGAACAAAAACCAAACAAAGAAAAATTGACTTACTTTTGTTCTTTTTCATGTTCTTGACAAACGTCAACGATTTGCAGAATATTGTGATTGGCAGAGAGTTGAAGTGAACCAACATTAACCTGAAATATTGTTTAAAAAATATATAGATAATATATTAAACATTTTACAATTTTGAAATTCTTAGTTTATTCATTAAACAAATTAAAAATTAACCTGAATATAATCCTTAAGAAATTCCTCTGCAAGTGCCTGAACTTCTTTAGGCCAAGTTGCGGACCACATTAAAACTTGTCGATCAGGCTGAAAAAAAGGAGAATTTTTTATATAGAATATTATAAATTAGTTGAGTAAATTCTGATAAAAAAATAAAAATAAAATGTACATTCATAAATGACTTACCCTTATCTGTTCAATTATTTTTCTGATCTGTGGCTCAAAACCCATATCAAGCATTCGATCTGCTTCGTCAAGAACTAAATAAGTACACCTTTTTAAATCAGTTTCCCTTGATTCGAGGAAGTCCAACAAACGACCTGGTGTAGCAATTACAATTTCTACACCTCTTTTTAGTTCCCGTGCCTGTAATGACATTTATTTAATGTCTAAGTAAGTTTAAACTTTTGCATTTATAGCTATTAAATTAAAATTAAAAGTACCTGAACTGATTTAGGAGCTCCTCCAAATACACACGTGTTAGTGATATCTATCGCATCGCCGATATCATTACAGACTGTCTGAATTTGCTGAGCAAGCTCCCTAGTAGGAGATAAGACTAATGCGATTGGGCCATCCCCACGTCGCAGGGGTTCTTGTGCTTCAATATGAACTAGAGCTGGTAATATATACTGTAACAAACATATCAGGTTCAAAATTCATAATAATAAAATATACTAACACAGAAAATAAAAAAATATAATTAAGCTGGTTTGAATTTTGTAAAAACTAATGTTTGAGTAAGTTTAATTTATTATTTAGTTATTAATAGAGATCGGATTACCATATAATTGCACATTTTATTCGCTTGCATGTAAAAACTTCAAATTCGATTATTTATCTATTTCATAATCTATAGAATAACATTTAAATTGGATATTGAATGAAATTACATGTTTTGGTGTTTTTGGCTTAAATTGCAAGATTTTGATTTTTGTTTCATCAAAATTGTAAATTTTTTCTTTTTTAATGTTTGATTAGACAATTTATAACTAAGAAACACATATTTGTACAAAAATATTTACCTTTTAATTTAACTATCTTGTCCATATTAAATTTATAATAGAAAAGTATGAGCAAGGTAAATAATTCTGAGATTAGCAACAGTTGTATTTAACTTAAAAAGGAAGAAGTAAACACAAGTGGGGAATATTCTTGGAATAGAACTTGCCTACATTACTGGATAACAATAAAAAACTGCCTTCTTTTTATGAAGAAAGACGTTAATTTTTATTATTGTTTTGACTTGAATTGAATTTTAGTGATTTCATTATTATTATTATAAATAAAAAAGAAGCAGAGATTAAGGTTGGACTGAAGGCAGGAAAAGCTTGTTATTTTTCTGCTACAAAACTACTTAGCCTTTTGTCCCGGAACTTAAAAATTAGAATCTATAAAACCATTGTCTTACCTACAGTTCTTTATGGATGCGAAACGAGGCCGATTACATTAAGGGATGAGCGATGTCTTAAGGTTTTTGAAAATAAAGTATTGCGTAGAATATTCGGACCGAAGAAGGATGAATTAACCGGAGAGTTCAGACGGTTACACAACGACAAATTCCGTGAACTGTATCCGGATAATATAATTGAGGTGATTTCATTCCGGCAAATCAAATGGGCTAGTAACGAGAGAATTTGCGCACAAAACCTACTGCGAAGCAATGCGACTGGGAAAAAAATTACCATCTATACCGACAGTCAGGCAGCAATAGGTGCTATTAACAACTATTATGTTTATTCAAAGGTCGTTAAGGAATGCAACACAGCACTTAACGAACTAACTGAGCACAATAGTTGCAGTGGAGTGGGTGCCTGGTCACTCGGGCATACCAGGCACGAGGAGGCTGACCAACTAGCCAGATTGGGCTCAGATACCATTCCTGTAACTCCTGAGCCTGTGTGTGGAATCAGCCTCAGCACTACAAAGGGTAGGATCAGGGAGATTTATGGGAACAAATTCAGTAATAACTGGACCGACAAGAAACAGCGTCATTCGAAGCTGTTCCTTAAAGGACCATGTGAAAAAAAGAGGAAACTGCTACTGAACATGGGCAGAGCAGTCCTTAAAAAGCTTACAGCAATCTATACAGGTCACTGTTAGCTAAACTACCATATGTTCAATCTCCGAGCAATGACGAATCCGCTATACAGATTCTGTCAGGAGGAGAATGAAACAGCTTTTCACATCATATGCAGATGCGATAGATTTACATGGCTGAGACTGGTGGTATTTGGGGAGGAACGAATGGATCTCCCCAGAAGTTATGAGTCGGTCAATCCAATCAGCCTACTTGGATACGTGGAAGCGACAAGATTAACGTTTTAATTAAAACGACCAACTGAAATTGGCGCACAATGGACTCATAGGGGTCGACGTGCTCATGAACACAGAAAAAAAAACAAAAAAAAAACACGAGAGAATTCCAAAAAGGTTAATATTTGCTGTACCGAATGGTTATCATCTGAGGGGTAGACCGAAGTGAAGGTGGGAAGATTGCATTAAAGACGATCTGGAGGGACTAGGTTTGGACGGCGAACGGTGGAGGGAGGTGTGTAATAAAGAGATTGGTGATGTTGGCATCAAACCTTTGGGTTCGCTAAACCTTTTATTATTATAAATAAAAAAAATTAATAGGATAATGCCAAAAGTAGATACTAATCTCTCGTCAAAAAATAAAAACTGAATATCATATTAACCTGAATTGAAAAGTTGTCTTTTGTCATCCTTTAAAAAATCAATTGGGTAAGATAGGAAATCATATGCAGAAGCTCATTGTAGAAGAGGTTAAAAAAAAAATTCTATTAAAGAGTTGAATTATTTATTATTTTTTTAAAAACAGCATGAACACTAATATTTAAAAATCTCAAATATTATCATGCATTTCTAAAGTTTTCTAAAAATTCTTAGTAATTTTATTTTTAATGTTGCTTTTTAATTTAATTTTATTACTTTATTTCTTGTCATTTATCATACTAATTCAGAAGCTTAGAAACTAAGTTTGATCAGATTTGGATGTATTGATATAATGAATTAAATAAAATAGATGATATCTGTTATCTTTAGTTACTCAATTTTACATATTTTAGATTTTTACTCCACAATTTTGCACATTTGGAGTTATTTGCTGCACGTTTTACGATTTTTACTGCACGAAAATTAGATCTCTAGTTATTAAAGTAGACTAAAATATAAAATATGAGTGTGATACTCACAGAAAGTGTTTTTCCAGAACCTGTTGACGCTATACCAACCATATCTCTACCTGACAATGCTATCGGCCACCCTTGAGCTTGAATAGCGGTCGGGTCTTTAAACCCCTGCTTTCTGTAACAAAGTTGATAATTTTATTTAAAAATTTTACTCTCTAAATTATAGCAAAGATTTGACGGATCACAGGTTGTTAAATTAGCTTACTTCAGCACTTTCAGGATATTTTCAGGAAATCCGGCTTCGTCAAATGACCATACTGGATGAGGAACATCCTTTCCCTTCAAAGTTATCTCCTTAGCATCGCGGTACGCATCAATATCTTCTTTACGCCTAAAAATAAAAGGTGTTAAAATCATCGTCAAAACATTTCAATAGAACAAATTAACATAATAGAGAAAAATTAATAAACTTATTCAGAGGTTGGCTATAAAAACTTTCATGAGTGGAAACAAATTTTGTATTTGTTTCATTTAATTTATAGTTGCCGTGTTGGGATCCATTTTCCCATTATCAGAACTATCCTTACAATTCATTTATATAAATTTCCACATGTGTCCTGTCGTCTTATTTTATACACTCCATCAAAGGTGTTATCCAGAGCCACCATATAACCTCATTAGCAATTGGGAATCTGTGAGTGAATATTTTATCATAATAGCTAAAATTTCAATTCGATCCCTAGTTTGTAAGGTGGAGGTATCTCCATAAACATTGCAAACATATACAAACCCTTGGTAAACAAACAGATAGGTATCAACATGCTTGTGTTACAGACAAATATTTTTGTTTTAAATTTGAAAAAAAAAAAAAAATTAGAAAAACAATAGAAACACAAATTTATTAAAATAAAATATAATAGCTAATACTGCAAGGTTTCTTTGTTTCCCCTGAAAACTGAGTCCGTTCTGATTACAGGTAAACATGAAAGAAAAATGGAGATAACCCTTTTTCATGACTCTGTTCACCATGATTTGTGCAATTTGTAAACATGGTTTTTAAAACACAGTAAAAACAAAAAAATAAATCCAAACAATGCTCAAATATTACTGAAAAGTATAACATATATAATATACCATATTGAATATTTAATAGTTGACCGTTGTATTATAAAGGAAGGAGATGGTCCGGGGTGGCGGTCATAAATGCTAGTTTTAAAACACAGTTTTAAGTGAAACTCCTAGCTGAACAAACCTCCCTGAAAAAGATTAGCAAAGTCAGGTCGAAATGTTAGCTTTTAATGAAATAGTTTTGCCACTATATAGCCTATTTATGACCACCACCCAGCACCATCTCCTTCCGTAATATACCATACTTTAAATTAACTGTTGGTTAAGGGACTGACTTTAGTGCAACCATGCATCTAAAGCTAATTACCTACCTAATGATTTAGCACTGCAAATTAAACTGTAAACAACATTTGCAAACAATAGTTGAAATTTGAAGTGCTGCAGCTCAATAGTTTCTATAAAGGGCTACTCAGACTTAAAAATACTTAAATCAATAAAGATCTCAAAAATTTGTTTTTTTATTATAATTTAAAACTGTTTTTGTTAAACACTAACAATAAAATTTGGGCTAATGAATTCATAAAATGTTTTGTTAATAATAAAAACATAAAATGTTTTCTAGTTCGCAGCCCTAAACTAAATAAAGGGAATTAAACGCATGCTTATTATATAATATATTTTACATGAACAGGAAGCCAAGAGAATATTTTTATACCAGAATTGTGGAAAAAAAAAAAAAGTAATAGGAATATCCATCTTTATATTGAACAATGTTTGATTAAACTAAACTTCTTCAATTTAGATATAATGGACAATACAAGCATATAATATAGTAAATTAAATGTTGGTTAAGGGACTGACTTTAGTGCAACCATGCATCTAAAGCTAATTACCTACCAAATGATTTTGCACTGCAAATTAAACTGTAAACAATATTTGCAAACAATAGTTGAAATTTGAAGTGCTGCAGCTCAATAGTTTATAGAAACGTCTACTCAGACTTAAAGGACTTGAAAATACTTAAATCAATAAAGATCTCAAAAATTTATTTTTTTATCAATCACCACACTTTCTCCACCTTAGGTTGTACATTTCTTAAATACTTAATTTCTAATTAAAAAACTGTTTTTGTTAAACACGTAATAATAAAATTTGGATTAGTAAATCCAATACATAAAATGTTTTCTAGTTCGCAGCCCTAAACTAAATAAAGGGAATTAAACGCATGCTTATTATAGAATATATTTTACACGAACATGTCACTAAGAGAATATTTTTCTAACAGGATTGGGGAAAAAAAGAAAACAAAATGTAATAGGAATTCCATCTTTCTATCGAACGTTTGATTAACCTAAACTTCTTCAATTTTGATATAATGGACAATAAAAGCATATAATATAATAAATTAAATGTTGGTTAAGGGACTGACTTTAGTGCAACCATGCATCTAAAGCTAATTACCTACCTAATGATTTAGCACTGCAAATTAAACTGTAAACAACATTTGCAAACAATAGTTGAAATTTGAAGTGCTGCAGCTCAATAGTTTCTATAAAGGGCTATTCAGACTTAAAAATACTTAAATCAATAAAGAAGAGAAGAATAGTTGGGGTGCTCAGTCAAAAAGGAAGGCAAAAATAAATTATAATATTTATTTATTTCTTACTTATAATATTTATATTCTTAATTATAATATTTATTTATTTCTTACTTACTTTATTTCTTATTTAAATATTATAATTTATTTTTTGCCTTCCTTTTTGACTGAGCACCCCAACTATTCTTCTCTTCATTATCCACGACAGTCAACCAATTACCAATTATGACTTTAAATCAATAAAGATATCAAAAATTTGTTTTTTTATCAATCACCACACTTTCTCTATCTTACGTTGTACATAACTTAAATACTTCATTTATAATTTAAAACTGTTTTGGTTAAACATTAACAATAAAATTTGGGCTAGTAAATTCGATACATAAAATGTTTTCTAGTTCGCAGCCCTAAACTAAATAAAGGGAATTAAACGCATGCTTATTATAGAATATATTTTACACGAACACGAAGCCAAGAGAATATTTTTATGCCAGAATTGTGGAAAAAAAAAAAAAAAAGTAATAGGAATATCCATCTTTATATTGAACAATGTTTGATTAAACTAAACTTCTTCAATTTAGATATAATGGACAATACAAGCATATAATATAGTAAATTAAATGTTGGTTAAGGGACTGACTTTAGTGCAACCATGCATCTAAAGCTAATTACCTACCAAATGATTTTGCACTGCAAATTAAACTGTAAACAATATTTGCAAACAATAGTTGAAATTTGAAGTGCTGCAGCTCAATAGTTTATAGAAACGGCTACTCAGACTTAAAGGACTTGAAAATACTTAAATCAATAAAGATCTCAAAAATTTATTTTTTTATCAATCACCACACTTTCTCCACCTTAGGTTGTACATTTCTTAAATACTTAATTTCTAATTTAAAACTGTTTTTGTTAAACACGTAACAATAAAATTTGGATTAGTAAATCCAATACATAAAATGTTTTCTAGTTCGCAGCCCTAAACTCAATAAAGGGAATTAAACGCATGCTTATTATAGAATATATTTTACACGAACACGTCACTAAGAGAATATTTTTCTAACAGAATTGGGGAAAAAAAGAAAACAAAATGTAATAGGAATTCCATCTTTCTATCGAACGTTTGATTAACCTAAACTTCTTCAATTTAGATATAATGGACAATACAAGCATATAATATAATAAATTAAATGTTGGTTAAGGGACTGACTTTAGTGCAACCATGCATCTAAAGCTAATTACCTACCTAATGATTTAGCACTGCAAATTAAACTGTAAACAACATTTGCAAACAATAGTTGAAATTTGAAGTGCTGCAGCTCAATAGTTTCTATAAAGGGCTACTCAAACTTAAAAATACTTAAATCAATAAAGATATCAAAAATTTGTTTTTTTATCAATCACCACACTTTCTCTACCTTACGTTGTACATAACTTAAATACTTCATTTATAATTTAAAACTGTTTTTGTTGAACACTAACAATGAAATTTGGATTAGTAAATCCAATACATAAAATGTTTTCTAGTTCACAGCCCTAAACTAAATAAAGGGAGTTAGAAGTATGCTTATTATAGAATATATTTTACATGAACACAAAGCCAAGAGAATATTCTTATACCAGAATAGAGGAAAAAAATAAAATAAAAAGTAATATGAATATCAATCTTTACATTGAACAACATTTGACTAAACTAAACTTCTTCAATTTAGATGTAAAATACAATACAAGCATATAATATAATAACTGTTGGTTAAGGGACTGAGTTTAGTGCAACCATGCATCTAAAGCTAATTACCTACCTAATGATTTAGCACTGTAAACAATATTTGCAAACAATAGTTGATATTTGAAGTGCTACACATCATTAGTTGCTATAAAGATCTACTTAAACTTGAAGGACTCATTGGACTTCTAAATACCAATGATACCTATACCAATAAAGATATAAAAAATCTGTTTTCGTTCAATCACCACAGTTTCTCTTTCTAGGGTTGTACAAATAAAATTATTGAAATTTAAAACTATTGTTTTAAACACTAATAATATAATTTGGACTAGCAAATCTGTTATATAAAATTAAAATTATTTCTAGTTTCTAGCCCCAAATAAATGGAATTGAAGTATGCTTAATATAGAATTTATTTGATATAAAGCCACTTAAATGTTGGTTAAGGAACTGACATTAGTGCAACACTGCATCAAAAGCTAATTACCTATCAAACAATTTTGCACTACAAATAAAACTGTCAACAATATTTGGAAACAATAGATGAAATATGAAGTGCTGTAAATAGTTTATTAAACAAATTTATCTTAATTTGACTGATAAATGAAAAAAATTAAAATAATATCTGATGTGTCCAATCACACACATTTTAAACCATTTTGGGCAAAAATTTTCATCTAAAATGGACAATACTTATATCTTTGGAATATTGGTCAAACACCAGTTTATCACAAAAAGTAGAAATGTACTATTTTACACATTAAAAACTATACAGTTGGTTAGTATAACAACAACCATGAAATAATAAATAAGTATTTAGATATTGTCACATAATGGAATGGTCTTCTGAATGCTTTTAATTTGGTCGAGATCTTTCCCCATTATAACATTGGAGTTCAATCTAAATCTTAATTCTAAAATACCTTCTACATAACAAGAAAGTTATGTTAAAAAATGTAATAGAGCTGATTAGAATGATGATTCCTTAGAAATAGGGTATTAACTTTGACAGAACAAATCTGTCTAATAACTACATTAAAGGAATCAATGGAATTCAAAATAAATAAGTCAATGAAGATCTCAAAAACCTTTTTTTAACTAAGCACCTCACTTTTTATATTTAGGCGGTGCAAATAAAATTATTTCTCTCAAATACCTCATTCATGATTAAAAAGAAATGTAAACAGTATTAATAAAATTCTAAATAATAGACCTAACACCTCTAATTTTTGGACAAATTCCTAAGCTCAGGGTCGAGTTTCTGAACTCGCCCTTTTTCTAGATAGTAACTCTAAATAAAGGGAGTTGAAGCATGCTTAATGCTGAACGTATTTTACATGCAGATATAGTAAGCAAATATTTTAATAGTAGATGAGAACAATTTAAAATCCAAAAATGAATATATCATTTTTACATTGATAAAACAGCTCAAAAATTCTCAATTTAAAGAATAATATACAACCATATTACTGTTGGTTAAGGGACTGACTCTAGTGCAACAGTGCATCTAAAGCTAATTACCTACCAATTAATTTTGCACTACAAATTTATCTGTTAACAGTATTTGCAAACAGTTAAAATTCGAAGTGCTTTATCTAAATTAAAATTTAATAGGAATTATTATAATAAAAAAGTATACAAATGAAATACTAAAATTATTTAAATATTTGTCTAATTATTAAATTACATGAGGTCTAATTAAATTACATGAGTTACCTTTTAGCCATCATAAATTTGAATATAATTTAAAGAGATCAGTACTTATATACTTTGCTTTCACAAATTACTGACTACATATTTAAACAGATTACAGTCAACTACGTTAAAAAAATTGAAACTATTTTAATATATTAAGCACATTAAAAAAAAAAAATTACACACAATGAGGAAAGGAAACTACCTCATTACAAAAGGTGTAACGGTATATCTATAGCAAAATGTTTTACCCAATGAATTATTGACAAACAACTTCAGGGAGAACATTTCAGTGCGCCTAAGTTAAGCAATATTGTAATTGAAATAAAAATCAACTTATAAGTTAGTGAATGTGATTGAAAGAAAGCAAAACAAATCAAAATGCTAAAAACTAATGATAGTATAATAGACAATATAGCTGTGTAAGTTATGTAGAAAGAGAAAGATTTTTGCTCCAATGACCTCCCGAATTAAGTTCCCTTCACAAGTTTCCCCATTACAAAAACAACACAAACATTATATTCTACCTATTTTACAACAATTTTCAAATGTTAAGTAAGACTCAGCCATTTCAACTATTTTTTTACATTAAGTAAGGTATTACGCACAAAACATATTTTGAATTAACACTCCACTCTACAGCAAATCATTCACTATACAGAAAAGTTCAAGAATAATCAATTCATACAATAATTATAACAAGAAATGTTTTACCTGATAAAAGAGTATTAAAAAAAAGTCAATAGTTTAATAGTATTAAAAAAAAACATGAAGTTTGTTTTTATTTACCTGGCTTGAACATCTTCATGAGGTGTGTAGAAGTTCTTTTTGAAGGGTTCTAATCTCCCAAGATCCCAATGAGGTCTTCGTAGAGCAGAACCTGGTTGCCCTCCCCTGCCTCTTATAGCACCTCGGTCACCTCCACGTCCACCCCTATCACGCCCTCGGTCACGGTCTCTTGATCTAGAACGTGATCTAAACCTTTCACGATCTCTGTCTCTTTCACGATCACGATCACGCTCACGTTCCCTGTCCCTATCTCTAGATCTTCTTCTTTCTCTTGATCTCGATCTGGATCTAAAAATAAAAAAATAAATTTATTTGAATGTCTTTATTATTAGAACCATTTAAGAATTGATACTTTAGTGGGTTATGTTTCTCCAAAATTAGAATCAATTCTTTGTTTTTAATTAAATTTTTTTTCTGATTTAATAGAGAACTGACTTCTAGTTTCAAAGAGAAGCCATTCCGAAATCTATAACTCAAACAGTATTTGATTACGTCATAAAAAAAAAAAAAAACTAGTCCAATTTTTGGAGTAATGTTATCCTACTGAATGAATTTTTCAATCTTTATAATTTTAACAATAAAAATTCAAATGTTGGTAAAGTCATAGACTTATGGAGCATAAAAATAGGCCCACAAAAGCTAAGCTACTTACCCACAGAATATTACATTTTTTTTTAGCACAGCAAAGATGATTTCAAATCAACAACTGTATTGATAATATAACTCAGCAGTGCAATGATTTGGGGATCCTATTCATAGAAATTAAATAAAGACAAAGGATTGTTTCTAAACATTATTAACACAATATAAATAAATATATACACACTGTGAAATAGTAATAACATCCACATGTATTCTGATCATGAATTTTAAGGAACAAATTAAAATTAAAAAACAAACTAAAACAACTAAGTGAACAGCAACTTAAAAAACTTTCTGTTCTGAAAGTTATGATTTTAACCTATATTATAATTTGATAAAAATCATTGCTTAAAAACGAGTAATATACAGAAAAATAACCAAAACAAATATAAATGGCAAACCAAGCATCATCGTTATAGTTTCTTGTTGATAAAAATTATTATCAAAAAGAAGGGTGACAACATTTACCTTTATTTACTAAATAATGTGTGTGATTTGGGTATAATTGTGTCAATACAGGATGAATTTCAAAAGATGTTTATGACAAAACCAAAATTAAGGATAAAAAAATCACAAAAACTATCAAGTAAGATTGTAAGAATTACAACTAGAATTTCTTCAAACAAATAACAGGAATAATTCACAACCTGTAATTTAACATTTCTTAAATTACATTTATAGAACTTACAGTATGAAACACTATTGAAATTCATGTTCATGATATATCTATTTTAAAAAATGAATCCATCATGACTGGTATAAATCATATTCTATGGAATAACATTGACAAATTAGTGTTATAATAGATCAAAGAACTTTTTACAGATGAATTTAAAAAAGGTTATATTAAAAGTGAAACTATATTGTCACAAGTGCCAAGGCATGGATGGCCAATCATTACACAATGCAGAAAACTAAGTTAGTCAAGGTTTGAAAACTTTCAGTAACCATAATCCAAAACTCAACACTGACTAAACAAAATCATAGGTGTATATTACAAATATATTTCAATTATAAAGCTTAAGAGAATTGAATGCTCTTTGCTAACAGTTTAACAACACATTTATCAAAGAAATGATGAACAGTTAAAAACTATGACATTATCTTGAATATTTTGTTGAAATAAATCCTAGTAATATTTCAGGGTTAAATTTTCTTAATGAAACCTTCTATTACTAATATACAATAACCTACATGAATTTTCGAAAAAGTTATAAATAAATTTTAGGAATTTTAAATGCAAAAAATTAAAGTGGACGTTGTAAATAATGAATTGTAAAACGTTTAACGAATATATTGCAATGTATACATCCAAAAATATGGACACGGCTTTCAGCTATAAAATTAATTTTAGAAATATTTGAGGCGAAAACTTACCTTCTGTCGTATCTGCCCATGTCTGTTGTGTGAATTAGTTGAAATAAAACAACCTATATCAATTACTAAAAACTTCAATTTCTACTTAACACACTCCAAGCGATACGAAACGCTCAACACCCGGGACCAACATGGCGTACTGAACAATAGTTCATCCCCTCCACTTGAAAGAGGGCAAACATATTTAAACTTATCGTTATTAAACAAAGAAAAAAAATCCCAGTGATTTGATATAATGTTTATAAAACTATATAGTATAATATATATATTTTTTATAACAGTGTTATAAAAATATTTGGCTTTTACAATAACATTTTAGATAAATCAAGAAATCATTGTATCTTTTTAAAAGGAGCAAAGAACGGGGCGAAACACTGATTTGGAAGATTCATTAAATTATTATTTTTATTTGCAAAAAAAATTACATTTGAATTCAAACGTAAAATAAGATCGTTGTATGTTTTGAACCTTAATTAGGCGCGTTTTGCACATTTTTTGTTTGTGGAGAGTGAATTAAATTGAACCGTCAGATTTTCGAGGTGTAACGCTCTGGTAAAGTCGGGTGGAATCGACTAATTGAAGTGTTTTTGTAAGCGAGGAAATTGTTCAGAATTTCATTCTCCCTGTGATGGGCTATTATTCAAAATTGTATCTTAACTCGACGTCGCACAGTGGGAGGAGTAAGGGAAAACTAGCGATGTCTATTTGAATCTGTCTAAATCCTTTTTTACTTTCACTTACGTATATATGTAATATATAGTAAGTGTAAGTATTGCGATCGAGAAAATTTTTGAATCTGAGTTTTCGACGGATTTATACGTTTTGAGGTACCCTGAGTCGAAATGACCAAGTCCCGAAAAATGGTCTGTGTGTCTGTATGTTAGCAGTCTAGCTCAAAAACGAAAAGTCCTATGAAACTGATATCACGTATTTAAGATAGGTATATGCCACTAGCGGATCCAGGATTTATTTTTTGGGGGGGGGGGCTTCAGCCCGAAACCTTTTTTTTTCATAAAAATAACGATAATTACTTTAGAAAAACAGATAGAAACTAACTGCCTATATGAAATGGTGTTTAAGTTATTCCTTAAGTACTTTTAAATGTAATTACACGAACAATAATACTTTAAGAGGTATTTTTAAAATTTTTTTCTCATAAAACATGGTTATATTTTTCCATATTGGGTGGGGGGCTTCAGCCCGAAAGCCCCCCCCCGTAGATCCGCCCGTGGTATATGCCTTAGTTGTGACGGCAACTTTTTCCTTAAAATCGGCTAACCGGAAGTGCCACTTTATATCAACGCTGAAACACATTTTCACAGTTTTCTCAAAAACGGCTCTAACGATTTTGATTAAACTCGGTGTATCATTGTATAATTAAGTGGTCTTTAATATAAATTAGGTCTTATCCCCATTGATGTCACTTTACAGAGCTTAAATGCCCAATGTTTATATACGTCTACCTCTAAAGTACCTTTAATATGGTTTATTTTAAAAAGATAATTATTTCACATTATTCAGAGTTACGGAAAAATGCTAAATATAACTTTTGAAAGAATTTGATATGTTAATAAAGGAGAAAAAAAAATAAAAATGCAGAAAAACGTAGCTATAGACTGTAGCGCCTAAACGAATGTACCGATTTCATTGAAAATTCTCTGAAGTCATTTTCTCTACACCCTTCAAATTTATCTATATAACATTCATCAGCGAAAAGAAGCTGAAAAAAAGTTACGAGGGATGGTAAAATTAAATTCCGAATAACTCAAAAAGTATACACTTTTTTGGCAATGTTGTGATAAGATGGTTCAAAGGTATTTAAATTGCCTAAAAAACAAAAGAAGTTTCATCGAAATCGAAGCACTATTAGTAGAGATATTGCAATTTTTAATCATATATCGTATATATGTAATATATAGTAAGTGTAAGTGTTGCGATCGAGAAAATTTTTTTTTTTCAGGTGATAACGAATTTTATTGAAAATATGGATTAAAATATCTCAGAAACTAAAAATCTGACCTGCATACTGTAAGCGGAGTAATTGTTCAAGATTTCATCTCTGTAATGAGCTATTATTCAAAATTGTATCTTAAGGCAATGCCGTGTTAGAGAGAGGAAAAGGAAAAATGTAGTGTCGAAAACCAAATGATAGCGAGTTTTATATAAGATTTGGATTAAAATATTCCAGAAACTAAAAATCAGACCTGTATTAATCGGAACTAACTACAGATAAGCATGAGAAACTAATTTGTGAAGTACGCAAGAGTACTGTTAAAAAGTTTTATCGTATCTTTTTTATTCTATTTAAACAATGAATCGTGTTTTTATACATTATATTGTCTCTGGAGATGTAGTACTTGTAATTTTAGTTCATGACTGCTCATGAAATTAAAATTAAAATTGCAAATTCAAATAAAGAAAATTTAACACATATACATAGTTAGAGTTCATATCACTGCCTCAAGCCTTTAAATAAAAATTGGTAATACATTCAATGTTTTTGTTAACATGTTTTCAAATATACCCATAGCCCATACGACAAAATAACAAAAAGAAAAAAAACAACTGATATTTGTATAAACATATCTTTACTTTTTTTTAATATGATATTATATTGTTCGTTTTACATTAATTATGCTGATTGATTTTAACTGTCACTCATAATTGCTTCACTAGATTCATCTTTGGAGCCCCCAGACGCTCCCACGTCTACAGCTGGTACATCGAACTGAATTGGCTCTACCAGCTTTCCGACGGCAATATTTCTTAAGTGTTTTCCTTTTCCAAACCTTTGCAACAAAAAAACCTTCTTGAACTGTTTACTCTTTGTTCCTCTGTCCATTTTTTCAATAAGAGATCCCAGCTCACCAGGGGTACCGATCCCACCCAAGGTCGATGGCACAATCTATCTTCCTACCTCCTCCCAAAATATTTTATTGCTCGCCTTTTCTTAAAAACAGAGCAAGCTAAAATAAAATTAGAGAAATCGGAGATCATATATAATTACACTTGCTGCGGTATGTTCCATGTTTTCCCCGTAGTCCGAAAACGCCGTCGAAATTTGCACCCCTCAAAAACCCGTCAAAATATTTTTCCCTCAAAAATTTTGATGCCGCAACTTGCGCCATGAAACCTCCTTCTGGGTACTCCTGCAGCCCTCAAATCTGTTTAATCCTTACCATAGGACTGTTTCCTTTAAAAATTCTTTTCTCACACTCTTATACATCTATCTATAATTCAAATGTTAACCTGTGCCTTTCTTTAATATAAAGAATCAATAGCAATGTAGTTATTTAAAAACAAGAAAATGATTAACATTACAAACAAATGTCACTAAATTGTTCATTACAGTTATTCTTAGAGGGCTGAATGCTCCAGAATAAAATTTACTTTTAATTTCAATTTCTATATAAAATGTAAACTTCCGACTCCTTTTTTGAAGGATAGATCCATCGCTCCTCCCCTTCCTTCCTCAAAAGAACGAAAAATCTGGGCCTAGGCACCTCCTAGGTCATGCTTTCCAAAGATATGGGAGAAAAGATGTTGGTTGAAGAAACGTGATTTTCAGTGTTTGATCTGTTAAATTGTGATATCTTCTTTAATCACGAGACATTGTATCTTAAAGATCTGATTCTAGAAGTTCGTCGAAATAAAACCAGAGAATATTTTAGCCTGAAACATCCTTGGATGTCCGATAAAGCTCGTTGTCCGCGGGATCCTTTAAACATTTCTGAAACAATATAACCTTTTCGAAGTTTGACCTACAATTACAATTAACTGCTTCGTGGTTGGATAGCCTTGGATCATCTGAACCTAAGCCATGGTCATCCATTTCAAGCTATCAGCACCTTCATTCATTATTATTGCCTGCTGATTAAACATTAAAA